CCTTAAGTTAAAAATGAAACGAGCACAACAATTCTGCACAAATTCCAAAGAAAAACTGTACAAAAAATCACAGTAATTAAAATGGGATAAAACAAGTGATTCACAAAGAGATTTCTTTAATGAGTAATTTAAAATATGTCGATTAGACTATAGAAGTTTTAAAGAAATAAAAGATTTTTGCAGTATTTTCTTTACCTAGTCTCTAAAGCGGAAGTCAGAATCTAATGTAATACCCAAATTTTTAGTAGAGTAAACATAGGGCAAACGCACATTATTATCAATGGCTATAATAAAATTTTCCTTAAGAACATTAATATGACTTCTGCTGCTAAAAAGCATTAATTGTGATTTAGATGGATTTAATTTCAAATTGTGTTCTGCAGACAGTTTACTTAACATATGTAAATCACGGTTAATTGTTTCCATAGCTTGCACATAGTCCTTTCGCTCAAAGTCTAAATAAATTTGAGTGTCATCAGCGGATACTTGAATCTTACAGTTCACAATAGACTTAAGGATACCTGATGTGTAAATTAAAAACAACAGCGGACCAAGGACGGACCCTTGTGGTACACCAGAAGTAATATTTATGTCAGTTGAACTAAGAATTCTTTGTGATCGATTAAATAGGTATGATTTCATCATTTTAAGTGACAATCTGTCAAAGCCAAAGTATTTTAATTTAGAACAAATTAACTCGTGATTGATAGTATCGAAAGCCTTCGAGAAATCCAGCAAAACCAGCGCACAGTCTCTTCCACAGTNAGAATTCTTTGTGATCGATTAAATAGGTATGATTTCATCATTTTAAGTGACAATCTGTCAAAGCCAAAGTATTTTAATTTAGAACAAATTAACTCGTGATTGATAGTATCGAAAGCCTTCGAGAAATCCAGCAAAACCAGCGCACAGTCTCTTCCAAAGTCACGACCTTGAATAATATCGTCAGTATAACTTTAGCCAGTGCTACAGAGGTACCAAATCCATTCCTAAATCCACACTGACAATCAGGTAAAATTTTATTAGCATTAACATAACTGTACATTTGCCGATATAGAATTTTTTCAAATATTTTTGAAACTGCAGGAAGAATACTTATAATTCTTAAGTTTGAACAAGTGGAGGGATTAGGAATCTTGGGAAGAGGAATACCTATAGAAACTTTCCACGACTGAGGAAAATATCCAGCTTCGATGCAAGATCAACTCTTGCATCGGGTCAATTGTCCAAACGAAGGCGGACGTCGTTACAGGTCTTCTGCGGACCCATCAAGGACTGTGATCGGACGTCTACCTTGATACCCTGCCGCTCATTAACCAGGATCAAAATCGGTCTAGTACGTCTAGCTCGACACTGTATTTAAAGTGCTCAAATGTTACTTATTATAAATTAATATTTACACAAAACTTTCTGCCGGTGCAGATCCTAAGAGATTAAATAAGCTCCTAGAAGCTGCTCCAAATTGACAAGTACTCATGCCTACACAAGCTTTTCGAAGCTTCTAAATGTTTCAGGTACCCACAGGAGACTTCGAAACCAGTGCTAGGCAAGGCAAAGCCTAAAAGACAGTGGTATAGGCACCACAGTAACCATATTCGAAGTGTCACCAAAAAACAACAACAAGGCTTCAGAAGTTCTGCCATACCGAGGGTGTACCAGATGAAACAAGCCAATTAAACAAATTTGATGCTTTTACTGTATTTCACGGCAATTATCTGCTTCTGATTGAGAATACAGGTGGACAAAATCATGTTCCACGACATGGCTCCCTAAAAATACCTAATAAGGGTCAAAATAAGGTAGATCTGCGACATGGCGCCCAATGTGGGGCCCAGATGTCCAGACAATGATACACCAACTTCATTGAAAAAGTCCTTACACCTTTCAACTATACTTATTTCGGTATTTAACGACGGTAGGAGGTATTTGTGTGTGTTCATTGTCAAGCCTCTGTGTGATATAAAAAAAGAAAAGAGAATTCTGCAAGTGGTATAGGAGAAACTGCAACAAAAAGGAGACAACTGTTGAAGTTGTATTTTACGAATCTATAAGGAGACGGGAGACGGGATATTCGAAGGACTCATTTTCAACAAAAAGTATTGAATATATTTTGACTGGAATAGTCAGTAATACCTTATACCTATGAAAGTTGCACCCTTGAGGCGATATACCCTCTTAAAGGAGGGGAGACACGAAACTTGGTATGAGCATCCTATTAATAAAGAGATAACTTTTCAATATTTTTTCGATCATTGGCGTATTTTATAAAGGAGTGAAACAGTCAATCCCATTACAATATTTTATTACTGATTTATTGCGCAACTTTTGTAATTTCATATAAAAAATTCCTAATAAAATATTGCAATGGTGAAACCGCTGAATCTAAGAAGGAATGTGTAGTGATCGACATGATGGAGCACCACTGCACACTACACCAATGGCTCAATCAGAATTATAATAAGCGGATTGGAAGTTTTGATCCTTCAACTTGACCACCAAGATCCCCAGATTCAAATCCGTACGACAATGAGGTGTAATAGGGCTCCTGGCAGATACCCTCTCAATAGAAATAACACCCTAAGGAACAGTGCTTACCAATACACATCCTAGGCCCTTGACCAAAAGGCAAGTGGGTGAACTGGTTCATATTCTTTTTCTTCTCCTCGCTGAACCGCTCTGGATCGAACTCTTTTGGATTCTCCCAATAATCTTCGTCGTAATGAAGGCCTAGTACAGGGATGTACAAGGTAGTGCCCTTTTCTATGACCAAATCTTCTCCATCTACTTTGTAGTCACTGACACACAGTCTTTGTAGAAACCGCGCTGGCGAATGAATCCTCAGTGCCTCTGAAATCATCATAATATTTGTTTATTTATTTATAAATAGCTACAAAAGAAATGAAGCAATTTTCTATCGACGTACTGGTTTAGTTATATTCGTGCATACCATTTATAACCTGTTCCAAATATTTCATGTCACTGAGTGAGTCATAGGTGAGCTTGCCCTCGTGCTTAGCCAAAACTTCATTGATTTCATCCCTGAGTTTCTCCTGGATGTCTTGATGAACGGCCAATTCGAATAAGGCGAAGGTCATGGTGGTGGAGCTGGTTTCAAAGCCTGCTATGAAGAATACGAAACTTTGTGCCACCATCTCGTCCATTGTCAGGGTATTTCCGTCGCCTGAAACTGAAAAAATATGTCATGATAAGTGAATACAAATAGGATGTAACAATATTACCATGGTGGCCATTTTCCTTCCCTTCGTTTTTATTCCTGATCTCTATAAGCAATTGCATGAAATCCTTTCTAACCACATTGTTCTTCTCGCGATACGACACTGTGTCCTTTACCACCCCCGTGAAGAATTCTGAGACATCGGCGCTGATCTGGCGCATTCTCAAAGCCCGCGCCAGCCTGGGAAAATTCTCAGTGAACGTCAACCTGATTGCGTCAAGCTTACTGATGGAGAAGAATTTGTTCCCGAAACGTCTGAAGGCTTAGTTTGGTTCCTTGAAGCTGTTACAGTCGAGTCCGAATGCGCAAGAACCTATGACGTCGGTGGCAAAACATGCTGAAAACAAAAAAAGGTGAATGTTACAATACTCGTAGTTATTTAATATAGTATTTTTCTATTGTAGGTCGTAAAAATTACTAACTTTACGTATACAAAAATCAGCAGTTTGGGAACACAATAAAATCTAAGACAGTCTAACTAATAGCATAATTCTAGTGAGAAAAATATTTTTGCCTAGATTACACAGGAAGGCAATAGAAGATAGTTTTATTCGAAACGAGGGGTTAGAACTATTTGGAATTTGGAGGCATCTCATTTGGAAAAAAAAATCAAGACCATGGACTATTCCAGAAGACTCAATATCCAGATTCAGTGTTTCTTCTAAAGAACAAAGCGATATGTCCTTCGAAACGTCAACAGGTCTAAACCGACGATGTGGCAATTGATTCATCCGCTGGTGGATGCGAAAGCCTTCAAACCAAGCTAAAGAGCCTTTATGAAGAGGAAATCTGCCTCGACTCAAGGAAACTGGACAAGAAAATACAACTGGCAATGACATTGTCGATCATATAGTCCAATCAATAGGTAGAAGAACTTACAAAAATTACCACCTGGAAACAAAAAATATGGTAATATAGAAAAAAAATTCTAAGAAAGATAGTGTATTTTTCCTGTTGCGCATAAACGGCGAAGTTAACCTAAAAAATTCATAAAAGTAAAAACAAACGGCTTTTCGCTAATAAAAAGAACTTGAACTCCAATCGAAAAAGTTACCCATACAGTAGTGCCTGTCTGCAAACTCGGAATTCGTATATTGGTCCATATTTTTTAAATAATATTGTTAATGTTAATGACTTAAATACGTGACAACTAGACTGGGTAGACAACTGTCAAAACTGTTTATGTTTGCAAAACAAAATCTGATTTTTACCTACTAGATCTAGACCGATCAAAATAACTCATTTAGAGGGGAAAAAAAAAGAAAATTGTTACCTGGACTTTTATAAGTGGAAATGGTAAAGGGGCTTATAATAAACGAAAAAAAAAATAAAAGCGTGAGCAGGGGCGGCGGAGGGTTGATTTGGGGGGTTGAAAAGTTATGAAAAATTGTATCATTGGGATTTCTGGCGAAAGTTGACGTCACAGAAAAAAGTATACAAAAGTTGTAGATCATACAAAAATTTACAACTTTTGTAGAAGTCATTTTTTAACATAACCTCAAAATTTCCGGGAAAAGTGCGAAAAACAGGTTTTTTTCTGATTTTTTGTTTTTTATTTCTCACTTCCGCAAAAATAATTTAATTTTGACGAAACTTGGTGAAAATATACCTTTCTCTGTCTTAAATAACTTCAAATTTTTTTAGATAGAAAAATCAAGAAGTTTCTGAGATATTAATTTTTGTCGGCCTAGAACATGTTTTTTCAAAGAAAAATTCTACTTAAAAAAATCATCGTACAGAGTTCTGCCGGTAATAATTTTTTTCGTTTTGATATATACTTTTTGGGGAAATAAAAAAATTTGTAATCACAGTTCAAAAACATGCTCAAAAATGCAAAAAAGTAAAAAATGACTTGCAGCAATGATTTTTTCAGTAATTGTTGGTAAATTGTTTAAACTTAAAAAAAAATCAATAACTGATTACACCATTCAATTTTACGGAAAAAATACAAAAAAAACTGTCTCATTGTTTGACCCAAAACTTTATTTTTGTACAGTATTGCTATAAAGATAAGTCGAATAGTGAATAAATAAAATAAATAATAATTTTTTTCCGTAGTATCGATTAGTGTACTTATTTTTTTAAAGTTTGATGAATTCATAGATATACAGAGTGTCCAAGATAAGGATGGGATGACATTAGGATCTAGGAAACTGTAAGAGATTAGAAAAAAATTGTTTTTATGCCAGGAAAATTTTTTAATGATAGCTAAAAACCTTTTTAAGCGATTACAATAGTAATATCATCTGATACAGAATTAAAAATGACTAGATTTTGTCATAAAAATACCAGCGATATATTTAAAAAAATTAATTTGATGATGGCCCCTCGAAGACAAAACATCGGATTGCAAAAATATTGACGCCATTGGATAGAGCGAAAAAAGTGGCAATGTAAATATGAAATTTATTTAAAATTCGTTTTCAAATAAAGCCAGAAAAAAATAAAACGATTTTGTAAATTTTCGGGTTTTGGGATTTCGCGTCAACAGTAGACTTTGCAGTTAATACTTTGTATTGGTGAAATCTCAAATCATCCAGAGATAATTTATCATCTGTGCATTTGTAATTCGACTTAGATGTTTACAGCAATACTGTAAAAAACAAAGTTTTGGGTCAAACAATGACACAGTTTTTTTAATTTTTTTCCGTAGAATTGAATGGTACCTATAATCAGTTTTTGAATGTTTTTTAATTTAAACCAATTATCAACAATAACTAAAAAATTCATTGTTACGTCATTTTTAATTTTTTTTTGCATTTTTGAGCATTTTTTTGAACTGTTATTACAGATTTTTTTATTTCACCAAAAAATATATGTCAAAACAAAAAAAATTATTATCGGCAGAACTCTGTACGATGATTTTTTTAAGTAGAATTTTTCTTTGAAGAAAAAGTGTTTCAGGTCGAAAAAAATGAATATCTTAGAAACTTCTAAACTTTTTTATCTAAAAAAAATTAAGGTTATTTAAGACAGAGAAATTTTTACTTTCACCAAGTTTCGTCAAAATTAAACAATTTTTGCGGAAATGAGAAACAAAAAAAGAGAAATCAGAAAAATAACTGTTTTTCGCATTTTTCTTGGAAATTTTGAGGCTATGTTAAAAAGTGACCTCTACAAAAGGTGTAGATTTCGGTATGATCTGCAACTTTTTTATTTGACGTCAACTTTCGCCAGAAATCCCAATGATACAATTTTTCATAACTTTTCAATCCCCCAAATCAACCCTTCGCCGCTCCTGCTCACGCATTTATTTTTTTTAGGTTTATTATAAGCCCTTTTACCACTTCCACTTACAAAAGTCTAGGTAACAATTTTTTTTTTCTCCAAGTGTAATTTAGTTGGACTAATCGTTTGTAATTCTTATTAGTACCTAATTTCATATCAGCGTACAAATGAATGAATTTTATTTTTTTATGCTACAACCTTACGTCAAACGAAAAAAAATTCCACATTTGCTCAGAAAGGAATGAGGATTTCAAAAATGATTTTTACTTTAAGGAAAAGCAGTGGCGTGACATATTTTTCTTCAAAAATATTCAATACAAAACCTGTCAAAAATAATAAAACTGTTTGTACATCAGAAAATGCATCTCGATCCATAGAAGACGGTACCAAATTTGAAAAAATATCTAAAGTTATCATAAAAAAATGTTTTTTAATAAAACTTTTACACCCTGTAGTTCAATAGTTAAGACTTTTAGGACATATGTTCATATGAAATTTTTTTCTTAAAATGGACCCAAGAATAACCCCCTTAAATATTAGTACGTTATTAAGAAACGCCCTGTATACATTATAATTGATTGTAAAGAGGTTGTCTTAGTCGATACGCTACACCGCCCTGGTCTGTTTCAGTTCGTGCACTGTAATTTTATACATTTTTCCATTGGAGTCCAGAATTTATTTACATACCTAAGACCTCCTTGATGTCTACTGGTTCTTTCGGTTTGATATTTTGCTCGATGTAGTTCTCAAGGACCAAACCGCAGTCGACCAAAGTCTGGAACATCGCCTTCAGCTTGCCAGAGCTGAAGGTAGGTGTCAATTTGGACCTTAGATTCTTCCATTTTGAACCACTGAGAGAGAACAGATGGCAACCTGAAAAAATCGTTTATACCAGTCATANGCTTCTACTGATTTTTGGCAAATCGTTGTCCTCTGAAAGTTCACTTAAAATTTTGTTTAGCGTTGGTATTTCTTTTTTAAAATAAAATGAGTATACTTTAGTCACTAAACACAAGTCGAATTTTACTCTACTGCACTAGCACGTCTTCGTATATTCAGCTCTAAGACTGGATTGATCTGTCACAATACACTGGCTCCTGCCCTATGATGTATCCAATAAAATATACTAATGTACACCCAATACCTGTTAGCATTAGTGTTACCCGATAATTCCCTGAAACGAAATATTTTACCACGCCCATGACCGGTTCTTATCTCGGGGTTTTATTATTCTCTTTCATTTCCAAACAGAGTATAATAGCATAATTCTAGTGAGAAAAATATTTTTGCCTAGATTACACAGGGAAGCAATAGAAATTGAGAAGAGTCGAGATAGTTTCATTCGAGATGAGGGACTATTTAGAAAAATCATACCTGCATTCATATTGGTTCTTCAAGTTTTCCTTATCGTTGAATACGAATCTAAGACAGAAGACTTGATAACCCCATAATCCAGAGGATCGAATTTCCAAGCATACAAACTCTAATACAGCAGAGCAGACTCATGAATTTCATAACCCTAAAAAGTGAAATACGCTAACTTTAACAATTTGTCAAAGAGGAAAGAATATATTTGAACGATTCAAAAAAGATTTTGAAGAAGAGAGTATTAATTTCAGATGCCATAACGAGTTTTGATTACGTCTTGATGTAACGTAACCTTAAACATAATGAAAACACGTGTTTTTTGCACATTTAGATAATGATATATCAAAAACCTGTTGTCATGGAGCAATTCTGAGGTTGGATTCGAATTTAGTGCATCGAAAACTATTGGAAAGTATAGTCTGGTTACTGGTTTAGGAGGTCAATCACATTATGTCAGCCTATGCAGTAGGATTTGTAGGAAATTTTTTTCACTCTATTTGTATTAGATTAAAATAATGTAAAACCAATCTCTGTTATATGAAATAATGTCAGCAAATAAATCAATAGAAAAATCTTATAAAATTGATGACATTATAATGTACAGTATGTCCGCAGATTGAGTTTACAAGAGGACAAATGGACCAAAAAGTGGAAGATGCGAAAAAAGGTATTCTTGATAAAAGTTTTTGCTTGTTTAGAAAACACGAATCACTACGACAAATTTCAATTTTGTTGTACAGGGTGGGTCAAAAACACAAAAATGTTATTTTGCGTAAGAGTAAACTTACCATATTTTGCAAGATACGAAAGAAAGGCATTCTTGATAAAAAAATCAATCAAAAATTTAATTAAGGATTCTCTGACACACCTCTAATCAGAGTACCAGAATGAAGCGAAAATACTAAATGATGTTTTCTGATGAATGTACGTTTTCTACTAATGGAACTGTAGCATCCCAGCATGTCAGGTACTGGCCTCCAGAAATAATGACACGAAGACAATATTTTACATAAGTGAACGTGTGGTGCGCGATATCTGTTCATGGCATTATAGTCCAGGCGGTATCTGTTTCGGGTTGGGTAAAACGCATATGATCGGAGATTTTTGCTTTAACGGCTTCTAAACAACATCAGAAATCATAATATTTCTATGCAAATAAAAAAANCATGTCGCCATGACATTTCTTGCATGCTAACACCCACGCATCTCTTGCACAACGACAATGCCCACAAGGAGCCGCTGAAGGAGCGATGTACACTGACCATGTGACTTTGACCCCATGTGACCTTGACCCCAGGTGACCTTGACCCTAGGCGACCTTGACACGACCTTGACCCCAGGTGACCTTGGGGTGACCTTGACCCCAGGTGACCTTGACCCCTGGTGACCTTGGGATGACCTTGACCCCATGTGACCTTGCCACGTCACTTCCTGGTCCAGAACCGGCCTATTATATCTACTGGTGTTAATGATAAGTTTTGCCAAACTTTAATGGCGTATTCTATCGATGAAAATAATCAAGTTTTGTCCTACAAAATTTGATAGGACGCTTCTCTACGGATATACAGGGTGTTAAAAGTTTCAAATATTTATATCATTTTTCCTGTAACTTCACTGGCACAAGAGATTGAGTGATAAAATTTGGGGGAGGACATTTTTAGTAGGAACTATTTTTGCATGGATAACTTATTCCAAAATATACTCCAGTGGCGTAGTTATGGGGGGAGTAGGGGACCTTTTTTTGGATAAAAATCGTACGCACTGATTTTTTAAATAATTTTAAATGTTTTTAAAATGTACAATCAATTTGTGGCAATAAAGTATTCTTGTCAAGTGTTCGTAAAATTTACTGGTGTTTAGATAATTGGGAAATCAAATAAGAAGATACTTAAGTACCTACGTTGCTATTTATCTACCATTTTCTATTGATTGCTAAATGTGTAACAATAAATTCAATCAATACCTAATACTTTTGAGAGATTTCAAAACAATATACAACGCCACTGATTTGTGTGTTGCAAAAAGATTGTTATTTCCGATGGTAGAACTTTTTAAAGGTTCCTACAAGAAGAATTACCACCACTTCTAGAAGAAGTTCCATTGAGGTTACGTCAATTATTGTAGTATACAGCCTTACCGTTAGACAGTTGCTGAATAATCAGTATCATAATCACTGGATTGGTAGAGGAGGACCCATTGCTTGGCCGGCTCGTTCTCCCGACCTGAATACCTTGAATTACTTTTTTTGAGGCTGCCTCAAAACTATGGTATATTATAATCCACTTCCCAATGTAGAAGTACTTCGACAGCGTATTGTAGAGGGTTTCGCGACCATATACAATACCGCTGGAATTATGAGGCTTGTAAGACTATCAATGCGGAGAGGCTGCGCAGCATCCATTGCATCCCAAGCACAGCATTTTGAACATTTCTGGTGATGTTGTATAGTGTTTTGACTTTTGAAATCTCTCAAAAATATTAGGTATTGAATTTATTGTTACACGCTTAGCAATCGATAGAAGATGGTAAATAGCAATGTACATACCTAAGTACATATCTTCTTATTTGATTTGCCAATTATCTAAACACCTGTAAATTTTACGAATACTTTACAAGAATACTTTATTGCCACAAATTGATTGTACATTTTAAAAATGTTTAAAATTATCTTAAAAAACCAGTGGCGTACGATTTTTTTTCAAAAAAGATCTACTCCCCTAATAACTCCGCCACTGGAGCATATTTTGGGATAAGTTACCCATGAAAAAATAGTCTCTACTAAAAAAATATCATCTCCCAAATTTTATCATTCAATCTTTTATGCCAGTGAAGTTACAGGAAAAATAATATAAATATTTGAAATTTTTAACACCCTGTATCTCCGTAGGGAAGCGTCGTATCAAAAATGTTTATAGGGCAAAACTTGATTATTTTCATCGGTAGAATACGCCATTAAAATATGGCAAAATTTATCGTTAACTCCCTGTGTAGAAATTATTACAATTCGTTAAATTTGTAGTAGTTGTCTGTAACTTTTACAATGAAAGACTATCATANTCAAAGGCTTTAGATTTTTAGAAATTTGATATTGAAAATTTTTTAATTTAAAAAAAATAAAAAATTTAAACAATTATTATGTAAAAATTATCGAACCGAATTGGATGAAATTTGGTGTGATGATTCTATGCACTAAGAAGTTTAATTCGGAAAAGTATGAAGATCCTAGGTGTTATTCAAGTGTCTGAAAAAAATTGACAAATAAACTAGCGTTTTTTGCAATTTTTTAACTGATTTTTCCGATTTATGCAATAACAATAATTATTTTTTCGAATTGCAACTAACTATCTATCTTGTTCAAAATTTAATTACAAAACTTTTTTCCTCTTCCATTTTTATCTAAAATAAATAGTTGCTAAGTTGTCGACGAGAAATCCACGAAAAAAATGAATTTTTTTGCAATAACAATTAAGCCCACGTTTTTTTCTATTTGCATAGAAAAATTATCATTTCTTATGTTGTTTAGAAGCCGTTAAAGCAAAAATCTCCGATCATATGCGTTTTACCCAAGTCTACCCTTTTTAAAACTGATACCGCCTGGACTATTATATAGGTATAGATATTTTTACAATAACACCTGCAATAGTATATCGTACTTAGAAACGCTGATACAGTGTTTAGCGATGAATGGTCCAATTTTGTGAACCTCAAGGAGCCCTGATTTAACCATGCCAATATGTTTCTATGGATTTGTCTATGCTACTCCAATACCAAATAATATTGAAATGCTAAAAGGCTGTCCGTTCAATATCCCAGGAAGAAATAAAAAATTCCTTCAGATATCTAAGGAAATAATTAGAAAAATATGTTCAATATGGGGGTGTTTTTTTTTTTTGAAATTTGATATCTTCATCATATCGCTCTGTATACTTTTTTTTAGCTTAATTGTTGTTGTAATTATGTTCGTATTATTTAAAAATTACACTTGAATAAGACGTATTTTAGTCTCGTACTTTGTTCCCTGTACAAAAAATTAGATTTTTGACAAAGTGACTCTTATTCATTTGTCAAGCAAAGACCTTTATCAAGAATGCCTTTTTCCGTATCTTTCACTTTTTGGTCCATTTGTCCTCTTGTAAACTCAATCCACGGATATCCTGTATATAATTTATAGTAAAGAGCTTCCTGATCACTTTCAGTTCGTGCCCTGTAATTTTATACATTTTTCCATTGGAGTCCAGAATTTATTTACATACCTAAGACCTCCTTGATGTCTACTGGTTCTTTCGGTTTGATATTTTGCTCGATGTAGTTCTCAAAGACCAAACCGCAGTCGACCAAAGTCTGGAACATCGCCTTCAGCTTGCCAGAGCTGAAGGTAGGTGTCAATTTGGACCTTAGATTCTTCCATTTTGAACCACTGAGAGAGAACAGATGGCAACCTGAAAAAATCGTTTATACCAGTCATACGTTTGAAAATTTTTGCTTCAATAATTTTTTTAGGACAT